AGAGGAGATAGCGTTCTCTTGCCCCACTGGCCACGGAAATGCCGCCGTGGGGCTGGGGCCGTGATTGCCAGTGAGAGGAGATAGCGTTCTCTTGCCCCCGCTGGCCACAGAAAAGCCACTGCGGGGCTGGGGCCGTGCTTGCCAGGGAGAGGAAATAGAGTTCTCTCCTCTCCCTGGCCAGAGTCTCGTGTCAGCAAGGTGCCCCTTAATCAACTCCAGGACAGCTGACAGCAGCTGTGGGGAGCAGAGCCTGAAAAGCCCTGATGCACCACATGTGCAGCCGCATGGATGGCGGGGGGGGGGGGCAGGGAAAGATCCTGGAAGCCCCTACGCCGCCAGAATCACCATCGTCACCTTGCTGCTGCTGCATCCCTCACCCCCTGCAGGACTTTCAGTTTACCTGGGGCACGAACAGGTGAACTTCCCTCGGAGCTCGACACCTTCATGCAAGGATAAAGGGCGTGTGTGTATGTGTGTCTAGAGTGAATGGATAATTCTAAGGGACTGGATGGCTTTGCACGGCTGCCGATGGACTGCACAATTCAAAAAGTGCTGGGACTCAAGCAAGCAAGTTCTAACCATGAGTGGTTTATGTTACTTTTTTTGCTATCATCCCCTACCCAATAATTATATATGATTTTTTTTTTGTCTATGCTATAATCAGTGTCTCCCATTTTTCATCCTTTTGTCTTTGTAACCCATTTGTATGGTGTGCAAGTGCTTTGTATGTACTTCATGTACATGTGGTTGATCTATGTCAGGGGTCTCCAAACTTTAAGACTTGTGGACATAGCTGGCTGTAGAATTCTGGGAGCTGAAGTACACAAGTCTTAAAGTTGCCAAGTTTGGGGACCTCTCGACTAGATTATTAAGGAAGAGAGAATAACATGCAGCAGATGCCTAGCAAAATTTAGTAATACTGCAGATTGGCTGTTTACACTGAAATCAGGTGCAAGATAGCGATGGTAGGTAAATTATTGGGCAGTTTAGTTTGGTATTTATTTCAGTAGGCTGATTTTAGAAAGCTAAACAGGATCAGACCTGGTAAGTACCTGGCTGGGAAGCCAACACAAAATAGGGTGTGAGGAGGAATGGGGTTGGGAAGGAAAGAACGAAGATAGGATAACTTTTATTGTCATTTTTTTACTGAAGGTACACTGGCACACATTAAAAGTGAAATATATATACATACCATACACATACATAACACACATATACACATGCTACACACACACACAAAATCATTGCCCATTTTGAATACATAGCGTAAAGGAAGAAAGTATTGGATACATATACACAAATGTGTGTGAAAAAAACTGCAAAGAAATAGGATTATAAAAATACAGCTTCCAATCTTAGCAGTTATAGATGAGAGAGCCAAAGAGAAATGAAAAACAGAGAGGGAGAAAGAGAGAGAGAGAGATGAGAAAGAGAGAGGGAGAAAGAAAGACAGAGATACCTTTAAAAAAGAAAATGGAAAAATGGCTCTTTGAGTGTTTTAAGGTTGCAGACCCCTGGGTTAGGCAAACACCATGATCGTTAAGTTGAACCTTGTGGTCATTAAGCAAACACTGGTTGTTAAACAAGTCCATTTTCACCAATGGGCATTTTTAACCAGAAACCAGAAGGAATTGTTGGAAACTGGCAAAAAACATAGAAAAACTCAGTCACAAGACTGTGTGGGGTGTTGTAACTGGTCATAAGTGTGTGTGTGTGTGTGTGTATTGCTGTCAAAACACCAAAAACAGGTCAAGTAGCTCTGGGGAGGTCAGTCATAAATTAGAACACTTGCTAAGCAATTGGCCGTTAAGCGAGGACCACTTATATTTGGTTTGCCAGTCACATGGCCACCCAGCTATGCCAACCCCATCACATGACTACCTAAACATGCAGTCAGCAAGCCATGCCCATCCAGTCACATGACCACCAAGCCACACCCACAAATTAGGCCACGCCCACATAACCGGTTAAGAACCTATACCTCTGCACCAGAGGTATAGGTTCTTCTGCTTGAACAGAGGGCTGGGCTAGAAGACCTCCAAGGTCCCTTCCAGCTCATTCTATTGTATCATACAAAATCAATCTATCATGTTTTTTCTAATTAATTATCCCCGAGTCCCAATAAAAAAAATTCTGTTTTCTTTACAATAATCTTTAAAATCCTTCGTAATCTTTATAAATCCTAAATTTATATCAAAAATTTCTTAGTTTTTGTGCAAACCCACCATGCATAATTAAATGCCCCTTATGTTTTCACATTTTCAACATTTGTACATTTCTGATAATTTATTTGATGTCATAGACTAATGATACATCATTTTACAATTTTTCTCATAAATTATGAATCTAAATTTAATACCAGTTGCCCACATTCTTTCTCAAATATCTCTATATTTTACCTCAAATAGCCCATTTTGTCATGCCCATTTTAACTTGGTCTTATTTCAAATATTAATAAAATTGTATTAATTTTTGCTATTACATGTTCATCATTTGTACACAATATAGTTCAATTTCAAATTATGTTTTGTAATTTTGTATCTTTCTTTTAACTATGCATATAATCAGAAACAATGTCCTTCTACAGTTAATTGTTCTCTTGACTTTATCTCAATTTCTTCACCTGCTTGTACTAATAAATCTTTGTATGTTAACCATTTATTTCTATCTGCAGTTTCTCTTCTATAAAATGCTTCCTGTACAGAGGTTGATAAGATATATTTGGACACAATCTGGGTTTATATTTCAATATGGCGCTTTTCACTTAATGATTTTTCAAATCTACATTAATATTAACTTTATTGTACCATAAAAAAACCCATCTCTGCCAAACGTCATTATTTTATTTCTCAGCAGGTCCCATTCTTTCATCCAACCCAAACAACATATTGCAAAATACAATTTAAAATCAGGTCATCCTAATCAATTTTTGTATCCTACAGAATTTATATTTAATCCTTGGTTTCTTTCTCTGCCATACAAATCTAAATAATAATTTGGCCATTGTTTAAAAGACACATCAGTTTTCAAAATTGGCATTATTATTGTAAAATAAAAACAACACTCTACATATCACTTTTATTTTTATCACAGAAATTTCTCCAAGGAAGGATAAATTTCATCTTTTTCCATCTTGATGGATCATGCTTAATTTCATTCCATACTGTAATATAATTGTGTTGAAATAATATGCCATTCATGTTGTACATAGTAACACCCACATATTTTACCCCTTTTTCAATTTGAAAAACAGTTATTAAGATTTTTTTTTCATTGTAATCATGCTTCTATGTTATTTAACTCCTCATGAAGAAGCTCATTTAATACACTGCTCTGTTTCAAAGCCTCTATATTGGAAACATCTTCACTAAAGACAGGTATGTTATCTGTTCGTTTTTCAGCTGTCAGTTCATCCTCACTGTCAGAAAGTGTACAGAGAAGGGTGTCATTTTCATAGGTAGGAAAATAGTACCTAAACAGAACAAAAAAAGTAATATATCTAATTAATGTTTTCTTTGCCCACATCTCTTATAGCATTATGACCGAACATAACATTACTGAAATGGACGTGGCCATTGCAACCCCATAAACAGCAATAGCCTGTCATTTAAGCAGAAAGTGCAATAATTGCGGCTATCTCTTGGTACTGCTGTGGTTTGTGTGATACTGGTTAGGGTGGACTGAAATGATGTGGAGTGCACCATAGATCTATTACTATTTCAGCGCTAATGAAAGAATGGCAGGGCAGCAATAACTGTTACTGCATGTAAGTAACACACCAAAAAAAGAACTCATGTAATTGGATCCTATTCCCTGATTCCAATTCTTAACACAGTTCCCAATGAAATGGAAAGCGTTACTGGGAAACTGCTTCACAATTTATGATATGTGCACACAATGAATATGTTCACATGCATGTATATCTCCTTTATCTCATATAATCAATATATTCAATCATTACAGATTCTTGAAGGTACAAACCAACAATGCTGATAGTGCTTGTTTCTGAATTTCATGTCTATAGTTAATTAATTCTGTTTTCCTACTTTTTGTAAACCTTAAAGTGTCTTGCATTCTTAAACACATTGAATAGAAACCTACTGTTCTCTATTTGTCACTTGTTAAGTGACATACCCTGTCTAATGAAAATATTCTATCCTTTCCATTTTAGATCAAGTAAAAATATCTAGCAAATTGTATTAGCACTTTTAGTTTGAAAGTGTGTTGATCAGAGAGCATTCTGAATGACTGGTTGGTTTGTAGCCTGCACAGATTAAGAGAATACAAACCTTAGCTGTCAAATTAAGTCTTATAATGCATTGTCTACAATACTGATGGAGCACGCATACGTAACTTACTGTGGTTGATCCCAAACAGATCTGTCAGGCAGAACTGCTATATGTTTGTTATCTTCCAAATGACATATTAACTCTTCTTTCAACTGGAATTTTTTCTCACATTTAAAACACTGACACTGGTGCACCTGTCTCCTGATGAAATTCATTAGTTTTACTTGTTGATAGAAATTCAGATCTAGTGAACAAAAAAAATATGTTTTAGGGAAGAAGTAGATGATATATCCAAATAAGATTCTTGTACCAAATAATCTTGTGTTTATAGTGTTTAAACTTCATTTATTGTTCTTAAATAAGTTAAAGTTCTGCATATCTTTTGATCATTTGATATAGAAGGGTAATTGTATATTGCTTAAGGAGGAATAAAGCAAATAGTGGCATGTCAATACTTGATATTTATTATCTCAGTGCTAAAACCTGAGCAGCTATTAAGAAATCATGCAGCTCATTTATACAGTGATTTCTTGAGAACCATTGAAAACATTTGATATTAACATTTAAGAAAGGAAAACTGCGGTAAAAGTCCAGATAATTAAAAAAAATGAATTGTATAGATTGATTTATATTCTAACACCCCCCTCCCCCCAGTTTTTTATAAAAAGCAATTTCTGTAAAACAAGTATGGATTACTTACTATGCTCAGACTTAATTTTTAACAAGTTAAATCCATGAGCCTCCTAGGTTTGGAAAGAAAAAAAGGTTTTGAAAGGTTTTGAATTAGTTATATTTGAGTAAAGCTAATTTTGTGAAAACCAGAAATAATATAATTGTACTATACAATATTATATTGAAATATACTGCTGTATTATTTTTTACCCAACTATTTGTTGCAATTTTAAATGTTGCAAAAAATACAATAAGCACAGTAAAAACATTAATTCTTCAAAATGTTTGTTACCTTCTCAAAGTTTTAGAATTAGGGACTATCACTTTTATCCAGCAAACAATGTTTATATAAATTGTGTCTTAGCACAAAGTTTAACCCAGCCACAGCCTCTTAGGTGAATATTTTTAGTCACTAAACTTTATCCCAAACTCTATTCTGGATTGAATGCAGACTTCAGCCCTTCTCAGATTGTCAGTTTAACACATAAATTATTTCAAACTGAACAGGCAACTGGATCACAGATACAGCCCTTTTCCTACCCTCTCAAGAATTAAAACAACTCAAGAAGCATGGGAAATTCTGAAAAATATGATCATAAAAGCCCATCCCAACCCAACACCATTGAAAAAGAAAAACAAGAAATCCAAGAAGAAACTGTTGATCTTTCCAATAAACTGAAAGAAAAAAAGGACAAGTACAAAAAATGGAAAGTGGGACACGTAACTAAGGCAGAATACCATCAGATAGCCCGAATCAACAAAGATTAAGTCAGGAAAGCAAAGGTTCAGAATGAACAAAGGCTTGCAACAAAAGTCAAAGACAGTAAAAAAAAGTTTCTTTCAACATATAAATAATAAGAAAAAAGTCAAGGAAGCAGTCGATCCATTAAAGAGAGAAGATGACAAAGAAGTAAAGGACATAGGGAGAAAGCAGAGCTGCTTAACTCATTCTTTGCATCAGTCTTCACGCAAAAAGAAACTATAGCTCAACATACGAAAAGCAAAGACGGACTAGAAATAAAAATTAAAATAAGCAAGAAATTGGTAGGAAAACACCTGTCTGATCTTGATGAATATAAATCAGAGGTCCTCAACCACCGGGCCCCGGACCGGTACCAGTCCGTGGATCATTTTGTACCGGGCCACCTATTTTGCTTGGGCGCCGCCATCTTGTTTCGACGGCACTTGAGAAAGTGCTTCCGGGTGAGCTTGTCGGTCGTCGGTCGTCGGTTGGAAAGCGGTGTTTGGGTGCTGAAGGAATCCTCGCGCCTTAGTTTCGGCGAAGAGGGGGGCAGCTTCGAACGAAGAGCTGTCCCGATGGCGGTGGAGTCTCGCGTTACTCAGGAGATTAAGAAAGAGCCCGAAAAGCCCATCGACCACGAGAAGGTACAAAGGAGGAGTTGAAGGTGGCGGGGAGAAGCGGGGGACGGCTGGCTGGCCGGTCGCTCGGCTCGTCTTGCCTTGGTCGTGCGTGCTGATGCCGGTACTGGTCCGTGGATCATTTTGTACATTTTGTACCAGGCCGTGGTACAAAAAAGGTTGGGGGCCACTGATATAAATCACTGGGACCTGATCAGTGGTGGGTTTCCAAACTTTTTCCTACCGATTCGGTGTGAGTGCACGCTTTGCAACTCACCTTCTGCTGCAAGCCCTGTATGTAAAACAGCTGACAGGTGGCAAATTGGCTGTGCTGTGCAAAGCAGCTGAGGTTGAAAAGCAGGAAATAAAGGTCAGTATAGAGCTGGGGCACGTGGGAGGCCCCAGCAGCTGATCATCAGAGCAAACTGGTTCGCTCAGAGATGATCGTTGGAGCTACTGGTTCGGCTGATCACTGGACCTGATGGATTATAGAATTCTGAAGGAGCTGGCAGATGTTATCTCAAGAATCATTATATGATATCTTTAAAAAATCCTGGAACACCGGGGAACTACCAGAGGAGCGGAAAAGAGCTGATGTGGTTTCCATCTTCAAAAAAAAAAAAAAAAAGAGGGTGGGGGGAGGACACCAAACCCAGGAAACTAAAAACCAATCAGCCTAACATCAATATCTGGAAAGATACTGGAAAAAATGATTAAAAAACAGACCTGTGAACATCTAGAAACAAATAGCAGCCAGCATGGGTTTGTTAAAAATAGATCATTTTATTTCATTCTTTGACAGAGTGACAGAATTACTAGACCAGTGAAATGCTGTGGATATAGTATACTTAGACTTCATCAAGGCATTCAACTAAGTAGACTTCAACCTACTTCTTGGTAAACTGGAAAATGTGAGATAGACAACACCACCACCAGATGGATTTGTAACTGGCTGACAAACTGTACTCAATGAGTAGTCCTTAATGGTATTACATCTACATGGAGGGAAGTAAGCAGTGGGGTACCACAAGTTCCGTCTTAGGCCCAGTATTCTTCAATATCTTCATAAATGACTTAGATGAGGTAATAGAAGGGGAACTCATCAAATTTGGAGATGATAAAGCTGTCAGGAATAGCCAACTTCCCAGAAGACAAGCTCAGGATCCAAAAAGATTTTCACATACTTGAATGGGCCCTATCCAACAACATGAAATTTAATGCGCAGAAAAGCAAAATGTTACACCTAGGCAGGAAAAACCACGGTCCAAGTACAGATTAGGTGAAACCTGGCTCAAAAACAGCAACTGTTGAGAGGGACCATGAAATCCTAGAGGATGATCATGTCAGCACTGTGCAGCAGCAACCCAAAAAGCTAATACAATCCTTGACTGTATAAACAGAGGCATAGAATCGAAATCACGTGAAGTATTAGTATTGGTTTATAAATCCTTAGTGAGACCACATCTGGAATACTGCATCCAGTTTTGGTTACCATATTACAAAAAAGATGTTGAGACTTTGGAAAAAGTGCAAAGAAGAGCAACTAAGATGATTAAGGACATGGAGACAACCCCATATGAAGAACAGTTGCAGGAATTGGGTATGACCAGTCTAGAGAAAAAAAGGACTAGGGGTGACATGATGGCAGTATACCAGTATTTGAGGGGTTGCCACAAAGAAGAGGGGGTTATAATGTATTCTCCAAAGCAACAGAAAGCAAGCCAAGAAACAATGGATGGAAACTACTGAAGCAACCAGGAATGAAGGAGAAACTTCCTGATAGAGAAAACAATTAACCAGTGGAACAGTTTGCCTTCAGAAGTTGTAGATGGTTCATCACTAGAGCAGGGGATTGGACTAGAAGACCTCCAAAGTACCTTCCAGTTCTCTTCTGATTCTATGGATTGTCTCTCTCAAACCTCATGGGTTGATACTGAAGGTTTTATGGAGATACATTATTTGCACATGTATCCTGTCCACACATTTAGAATGTAATTAAGTGGAATCCTAGACTACAAATAAAAATGCTACATTACATTCATAGAAAGCAGAGCTGCCCTTTAAGAGCAAGATCAGTGTCTATACATCATTCTCTACTAAATCTGAAGCCCACCATGCATTCACCTAAATCCCTAAAGAATTTAAAACAGATTTCCTGAGTCAAGGTGTTCCTCCTTTCTCTAGCATGAGTAGCTCTGGATCTAATCTGGAAATCTAAGACTACAGTTCCATTAAAATAACAGAGAAATAACAAACACCCGGTGTGTTATAATGGCTAAGGTGTTAAGGACTGGGGATATGTAGGTTTAAGTTTATCCTTAATCAGGGAAATTCACTGGGCCAGTTCATCTCTCAGCCCAACTTTTTTTACAGGCTTATTTTAGATAAAATGAAGGGGAACCTCATGAAAGTTCCGCTGAGCTCTTGGGGAAAAATTGGACCTAAATGGAATAAAGAAATTCATAATAAAGAACCTGCTAAAACAAATAGATCCCTAATAAACCCACAATATGTAATTTAATATTTAATATAATCTAAACATACATTACTATATTCTTCTCACCTCCATGTGAACATAGAGTTTTTCTGTGGTATCAGTTTGTTTTTCACAGAAGAGACAGACTGCACAAACAGGATGTTCTTCCCAATCAGACCAGTCCCTATAAAAAAAATAATGTAAAGAACCATCTGTAACTGGCATTTTGGAATTGTCTAGAAAAACTGTAGGCATGAAAACAAAATCTGTTTTAACTCATCTATTCCTGCAAAAAGGAGAAAGCTGACATTCTGCTCCCATCAGTCAGCTGAAATCTATCTCCTATTACATACCTGTCCCCATTGGCTTTTAGATCCTTCTTCCTACCCCTGAAGATACTCAGTATTTTGTTATCACTGAGCATGTTTAATCCACCCTAAGTTGTTTTGCCATGCATACATTTTTTCCGCATATTATTTTTGTAGCATTGCAAGCTACAAAGCACGCTGGTATTTTCTTCTTGTTCTTGGTCCCAATATTTTGATGAGATAACTATTCCATCTATTAACTGTTACAAGCTGTAACAATATGTTGTTATATCATGCAAACGGGGCAAAGGTACTTATGACTGGATGCTGCTTATTTCAAAGAAAGAAAGAAATAACATATCCCAGAATGGTTTTTTTTGCAGTTACCAAAATTTAAGTGGTTAATTTTTAGCAGCAAAACAAAGCAAATGCCATGTTTTTAAGCTTAAGTGTAGTTTTATCCTACCAAAAATCAACACCTCCCCCCATCTCTTTTCCATCTACTGCAATGGTGCCACCATAATATTCTGATTCCATTGTGGTCTTTGGCCAACCCAATATTGCAGTTCTAAACATGGCTTATGTAAAACTAAACTACATCAATTGGTTTAAGGAGTTACACATAGAAACAAACAAAATGTTACAAAGTTATGACATTTCTGTAATTACCAAGAACATCTAAATAACCAAAATATCTTTACAATCCTCAAGGCATGCCACACAGGGGTGGGATTCAAATTTCTTAACAACCAGCTCTGTGGGCGTAGTCTAATTTGTGGGTGTGGCCTGGTGGTCATGTGACTGAGTGGGTGTGGCTTGCTGACTGGGCTTGGTGGTCATGTGACTGACTAGGTGTGGCTAGGTAGTCATGTGATGGGTGGGCGTGGCTAGGGGGCCATGTGACTAAGGTGGTTGTAGTTAGGTGGCCATGTGACTGGCAAACCAAATATAAGTGGTCTTCGCTTAATGGCCAGTTGTTTAGCAAGTGTTCTAATTTATGACTGACCTCCCCAGAGCTACTTGACCCGTTTTTGGTGTTTTGACAGCCATACACACACACACACACACTTACGACCAGTTACAACACCCCACACAGTCTTGTGACTGAGGTTTTCTATGTTTTTTGCCAGTTTCCAACAATTACTTCTGGTTTCAGGTTAAAAATGCCTATTGGAGAAAATGGATTAACAACCAGTGTTTGCTTAATGACCACAAGGTTCACTTAACAACCATGGTGTTTGCCTAACCCAGGGGCCTGCAACCTTAAACACTCAAAGAGCCATTTTTCTATTTTCTTTTAAACAGCTATTTCTCTCTTTCTCTCTTTCTTTCTTTCCTTTCTTTCTCCCTCTCATCTCTCTTTTTCATCTCTTTCTCTTTCTTCCTCATCTTTCTTTCTCTTTCTCCCTCTCTCTGTTTCTTATTTCTCTTTCTCTCTCTCATCTACAACATGTAGAGAGGCTCGTGTCAGCAAGGCGCCCCTTGATCGAGTCTGGAACAGCTGACAGCAGCTGCGGGGAACAGAGCTTGGAAGGCATCAGAGAAGCCAGCAGAGAGGGGCGGGGCCAGCCAGAGGCCCGATTTACTGGTTCTCCGAACTAGCGGGAACAGTAACAACCAGTTCTATAGAACCGGGCCAAACCGGTAGAATTCCACCCCCTGATGCCAAAACTTTTGAGCACCTAATGTTTGGAAATTGAAAGTTCAAAAATTTGACATGCCTTGAATAGGTGAATGTCCCCACACTCTTCAAGGAACACTTTCCCGTTGACCTCAAAGTGCTGCACAGCCATGCCTACCCAGATTTTGTGGCTCCCAGTGTTTCCTTTTCTATGGGAAACAGGTATCTGTCTCCCTGTCTCTCTTTCTCTGTATCTGTCTCTCTCATCTCTCTCTCTCATTTTGATTCTCGAGCTCACTGGGTCTTGCGGGTGCTTCTTTGGCCTTTGTTGGTGCTGGACGCACCTTGGTCGTTCGGGGAGACGACCTGTTCTCCGTCCCGAGACACTTGTCTACCCAGGCTGCAGCCGATGCTCCCCGTCGTAATGGGCTCCAGGAGGAGGGGACATCGTGAAGTGTGCTAAATTTAAGTGTGCTGTGCAAGGTGCTGTAAGAGCAGCCAGCAGGCCATGGAGGTGGTGAGAGCAATGGTATTAGCTGCAGCTGAGCCAGCCAGTGTCTTGGGGCAGAGAGGAAGTTGTGCGTCTCCCCGAGCGACTGAGGTGTGCGCAGTACCAAAAAGGGCCAGAAGAAATGCCCGCGAGACTCAGCAAGAGATGAAGCTTTGCTCCCGCTCTGGAATATGGAGCGAATCTCCATTCCGCACCTTTACCTTCTCAGGCCAGGTGAGGAGTGATTGGGAGGGGAGGGCAAGGGGCGGAGCAAGTGACTGGAAGGGCAGGGCAAGGTGGGATCATCTGACAGGGAACCACAGCAGAGGGATAAAAAAGCCATGGGCTGTTGACACCCGTTGCTTTGGCC